GATAACTCGTACTATAAACGCCTACCTGTACATTGTACCATCTAGCGTTAACATTTGTTTGGGTGCGAGAGTTAATTATGTATGCGTGAAATTAATCATGTGGTTTCTAAACATGATTTACCTGCAAGTCAGCATCATTGTGGTGGATGTCGACATAAAAAAAGTTGCAGACGAAGATAAATATTTTAATGCCTGTTTAAGCAAACTCGGGCGATGACATAAAGACTGAGTAGGTTCCTTTTGAGGGTCAATAATTTAAAAGCGTAGTACACATGCATGTAATTTTCGGACCAACAGCACTTGATCCATGTGCTTTGTACGTGTACAATCTTTGATTTTCTGGATGCTCTTTTTTATCAAAGGAATTATGTCATGTCCACAGCATCTTCCAGAATCACGGAGTTTCTGATCCACTCCTCTCCACATAAATCCTTAATCGAATAGACAGAGTTTGACGGTATTAGAAATACGTTCTCTGCAGCTGATTGACCTCATAAAAGTTTGCGTGAGCCAATCAAAGACATTGTTTATTTAATCTGAAACTAAATCGTAAACAGAAAAAAAAAACATGCCAGTTTTAGTCCCAACGAAAACGTCTTTACCATTAAATAACCCAGTTAAATGCTGTCTCAGCATTGCAGTTCAAATTATTTTGAAATCCATACCGACTTTCGAAATTGTTTCGCATCCCCCTTTAAATGGCTTACTCTGATCGGTCAATAGCAGAGGTCAACAGAGATAAAAATATGTGTAATCTCACTAGCTACAGTGTATAGATGGCGCGATAGTAAACCCCTTCAGTCATTCGGTCAAAGATTTATTTGGAAAAGAGTGGATCAGAAACCCTTGACTTGGGAAGATGGTCCACTGAAGAAAGGTCAAATCCGCTTAAACATATATTTAACTCGCTAGGTTAACCAAGCAAATAGTTCAGTTCGTTCGAAAAATTCCGAAAACAATGTAGCTTGTAAACATAAATGACTTGCATTTTACAGGTCTGTTGTCAGATACTGTACCTAACTGTAGTTTGTGGTTATATTACAATCGCTAACATACATGTAAGAAAAATGGCAAACTTAAAAAAAGCTTCCACTATCACTTGATATCTTGCATGTAGACAAAATTTTATAGCATATAGATATAATCTTTTGTGAATATGAGGAAACATGCTTGTCATTGTATAATATTGAAAAAAATGTTGTGATCTTGAAAATATAGTACTGAGGTCAGTATGTAATGCGCAAAATGACCACAAAAATGAGATTCTACATTTATTTCAAAGGAATTCAACAAATTCTCCTTCAACATAAATAATTTTAAAGAGATGAAACTCACAATACTTATTTCACACACAGGTTAATATACATACTGAAAATAACATACTGAGATCCCAACGGATTACGGTTTGGTGGAAATACTAACAAAGTGGCAGGGATATAATAGGGAATTTTTAATACATACAGTGAATCTAATCTAATCCGGATGTATTCCGATGTTTTGCCTCATACGTAAATGTATAAAAATTTTGTAAAATAATTTATATTTTATTTATTAATTTATAAAATAATTTAAAATATTTTTTTGTAAAAAAAAATATGTAAAATTTCGGCCCCGTTAGTATATTCAACAGTTTGAAATATTATCTAATCTAGATTGTTTCCTAATCCGGTCATTTTTGGAGCCAGTTGTGGTCGGATTAGACGGAATCTACTGTAGTAGATCTTCTGGGGGATAATGAAAAATATAATCCAGAAAGTTCAGATCTAAAGACAAAATGCGAGAAAGCAAAACCAACTCAAGAATATTGTCAGTCCATGTTCAGTGATATGTGCAGATTAAACAAATTGAAAACACATGGTAATACGTAAATAGAAACAATAACAGAGCTCTGCCTTGTATACAGAAACAGGTGTTTGACGTGATGTTATGAAGAATGTCGTAAACGTTGTAATTGAATGCTTAGAATGTTAATGCAAAGTTCAAATCATTAAATTGAAGTTATTATTAAAATAAATAGACATTTAAAATTGTAAGCAGTGCAACTGTGTCCGGGCCCCTTTAAAGACAGTGTACATTTAAACAAATATTTGATGAATTATACCACAAAATACCGCCCATGTCATTAAACGTCAGGATGTACAACCTAAGTGAATTTGCCTCATTTACAAAGAATTGCAGACAGTTAATTCAGTGCTGTTGTAACGGAAACTCTAAATAAGCACGTACAATAATCAGACAGTTTGACCTTTTTTTTCTTTCTTTGTTAGATAAAGTTTGACATTGCAGGTGACGATCTTTCTTATAATTCTGATATCGTTAGCCTGTGAGTCACATGGATTATTTGTTACTACAGATACACACGCAGGGGAAGTACGGGGTTTCCGCATCCCTACAAGCTCCGGGGGGTCCCTAGATATTTACCTAGGGATACCATTTGCTGAGGCTCCAATAGGAAGTCTCCGCTTTGCACCACCTGTGGAAAAAAGAAGCTGGAGGCCAAAAATTTTGAATGCAACGCAATTTGGACCTGCTTGTCCTCAACCACTAAGGCCATTGCAGTAAGATTCTAAACCTTATATAATTAAACTGTAGCACTAAAATTAATAATCATGATAATCATTGCAGTAAGACTCAATATTAATTGATAAATAGTTAAAGTGGATCAAGGCTGGGTGTAGAAGCTATTATATAAAATTATGGTTGTAGAAGTTTCATTATCATGTAGCTAAAGATTGGAAGCAATACTCATTATATAAATTGCAGTAATATTCCTAATATTAAGTAGTCAAGGTATAGTACTAAACATATTGCCCAATAATTAATTACAGTAAGATGACTTGACTTACATTCCTGTTCGCTCCTTGGGGAGCATAGGGCCGCACCGCGACAGTGGACTCTGTTCTGGGTTATGTTATTCAATTGGGCCCAGGTAAAACCTGCCTGTTTTGCGTCCATTTCCATTTCCATATTCTCCATGTTTGCCTGGGTCTCCCAACCCTTCTCTTTCCTTGTTGGTTCCATTCCAGAGCCTGTTTTGTGATGTTGTTTGGAGATTTATGTAGAGTGTGGCCTACCCAACCCCATTTCTCTTCTTTATGTCGATGTAGATGGGATTTTGGTTGGTTCTCTATCATAGGCTGTTTGATATTGTGTTGGGCCATCTGATGTTAAAGATATGGCGGAAACATTTATTGACGAAAGACTGTAGTTTGTTATTTATAGTTTTAGTTACCTTCTAGGTCTCAGAACCATATAAGAGAACTGCTTTAACATTTGTGTTAAAGATCCTGATTTTGCTGTTGATGGAGAGTACTTCAGAATTCCAGATTTGCGAAGGGTACTGAAAGCATATCTTGCCTTATTAATTCGGCTTTTGACATCATCATCTGCGCACCGTTCTTGTTGACAATACTCTCAAGATAAGTGAATCTGTCAGTTAATGTTCTCCCCATTTAAGGGGATTCAGGGCACATGGTCACATGACTGTTCAACTTCGTCACAGTCCCCGTTTATGTAAGCAAAACGTGAAAACCATCAGTTCTTGTATATTTTTTTTTACTTTAATTACCACCTTAAATAAAAAAATGAAAAGTTTAAACATTCTTGAAAACATTAACAAATCATGAAATAGATTGATCCAACCCTCTGTTTCCCTAAACTGCGCGTCCAACAAGTCGGTAACGTCATACACTATCTGTTAGTACAGGAAGATTATATTCGGTGAATACAGGGGCGGTATTATTGTGTAAAATCAGGTCATAATCAGTATATCATGAAGTAATTTGAGAAAAGGGGAACACAAAAATAATTTTTGCATGATCGATGACAGGAATCTTTTGTATATATATCTTATTTCGCTTATTTAGCTTACGTTTGACGTCATAGTTGATTATTCCTGTACTCGAGAACACGTTTTTGTCCTGTTTATGTAATCTTTAACGATGTCCTGTGCAAAATTGCGGTCAGTTTCACCATTCGAAATTTTTACTGTTATTCAATTTTTTTGCAAATTAATTTTTTTTGTCGTTTAAGTTGTCTTAAAAAGTGCGTTATTTTCCCTATCTAGATGCAGTGTGATTGACGAAATTTGCTTTTCTTTCGAATTTTATGCCCTATTCATACTCTGAATATTTTTTTAAAAATACGTGTCCACTTACATTTTTTTTATTTATGCTTAAAAAATCCCATTATGGACAGAGTAATGGGTCCGAAAACATGGAGAATTAAAAGTCCACTTAGATACAGTAGGGCAAGGTATTTGTCATCAGTATCTCTAAAATAAGATAAGAAACCTAATGATATAACTGCTTTATGATATGTGGGACATACTTGATAAGAAATTTACAAAATATGAAAATAATTGAATGACAAGTATTTTATCAGCTCAAGGTCCTTCTTCCCCTTAACTGGATAGATACCTCCTGTTTGTTATTGATTCTCATCACCTCTGTCTTCTTGGTGTTTATTTTAAGGCCAGTCTTTTGAGTTTCTGATGCCAATCTTGTTAATTTCTCTTAAGCATGTTGTTGCTTGTGTGAGAGCAGGTCGGTCAATGTCAACAGTAAGATGTGTAATATTAAAATTATTGAAAGTTTGGTAATTTTAATGTATGTAGTTATACAAGTATACTTATCAATTTGAACGTGTTAATTTTGACACAAAAATACATTAAATGCATTCTAAGTAGGAAACTGTCAAGCTGAATTTTGATATTTTGTATTTCAGAAAAAAACCTTGGGGAATATTTCACAAATATACAAGAAGATTGCTTGTATCTCAATGTATATTCGCCGACGGTTAGTTATGATATGAACATACATAAATTCTTAGTCATGAGTATATATGGGAATTATGACGTTTTGTAACAACAACAATATGAAAATAAATAGATAGATGTTCCGTACGAAATACCAGAGTATTAACAATAACGTTATATACAGGTTTATGCACAATATACATCAATATAGAATATTAATGGTTCCGATCCAAGTTTTCCTGTGATGGTCTGGGTGCATGGAGGATACTTCAAATTTGGATCGGGATCGGTGTACGACGGTCGAATACTTGCGTCAAAGGGAGGAGTCATTGTCGTGACCATAAATTATAGACTTGGAGCTTTAGGTTTGCCATTTCTAACGTATCAGCAATTCTCCACATTAAATTATAGCAATTGCGATTTACTTACTGAATAAATCAGATAATGATACAATGGAATTCTATATGAATGCATTGTGTACATTAAGATGTGGGTTGTTAATTCAGGTGATCTATGCGTTTGTTTATTGCAGGATTTCTATCAACAGATGATTCGGTAACAAGCGGTAATCAAGCACTTCTGGATCAGTCGCTTGCATTAAAGTGGGTAAACAGAAACATACATCGATTTGGTGGGAATCCCCGCCAGGTGACCCTATTTGGAGAGAGTGCTGGAGGGGCCTCTGTTTCACTCCACATGTTTTCCCCATTGTCGTCTGGTAAATTACATACAGTATCTTTCCAAAAAGAGGGTAATGGTATTAGAAATAAAAGGAGCAAGTCACGTGCTTTTATTCCCTTAAATATCGCAGTTATTAACACATTTTACAAATTACAGACCCAACCTGACACCTAAGCAGTCCCAGAAAGCAGTCTCCGGGACTGCTTTGGGACCACTCTGGGACTGCTCTGGGACCGCTGTGGGACTGCTCTGGGACTGCTGTGGGACTGCTCTAGAAAGCAGACCCAGCAGTCCCTGGGACTGCTTTCTGGGACTGCTTTGTTCACTCATGCATGAAAAAGGTTCTGAGTGACATGATAGCTCCGCCCCTTGAGTATTCTGAATTTGCAGGCTCCCTGTTGTTGTTTTGTTTACTTTCAACAGAGAGGTGTTAAAAATAAAGAATAAAAATACCCAAGGATTTCTTATAACATTTTAATAAGTAGAGATAGATATACATGTAATTACTAAATGTCTTCAGGGGCTGTAAATTTACACAATTGTAGTCTAGAATTAATTTTTAAAAATGAAATTAGTTAAAAGGGAAATCAGAAGATGACTTTTATCCCTTGAATTAAGCATTAATACAGGTGTTTGAAAAAATATATCTCTAAGGCCTATTTAATTAATTAATGCTAATCAAAACTTTTATACAGGTGATTGAAAAAAATATCTAGGCCTATTTAATTAATTAATGCTGTCAAGTTACGGTATGTACTCAAAGTTTGCATTAGCACTATTTAAAAAAAAACAAACTTGTCATTACAATAAGATACTTAGAGGGACGTACTGTACTGGATTTTTTTTTTAACTTGAAAAAGCTAAAAACCATGCTAAAAAAGAGCATTCCATGCAATTTTTTAACGCCCTCAAATAAAACCTAATAATTTATTAAATGACCAATGGATGAAATTATTCTACCATTCTTCAGACATTTAAACAATTATATTTGTGAACAATTACTGGGGGATCTATTTCTGAATTTGTTTTTGATTTATAAACAAGTCATTAAAAGAGTAAATTTATAAACATTTTTTTTTAATTATTGGGAATTGTGACTTATTTCTTATTTGTTTTGTTTGTGTTTTCCTGGCCGATTAATAAAAAGCAATACAAATGTATAAAATGGTGTCAACACCTGAGGTTTCCATGGCCTTCGGGCATGATTAGCAGAAAGTCAATGCATGTTATTTGGGTATCAGTGTTACTCATCACTGAACATGCTGGTCAACAATGACACTAATTTCAATCTACGTTCTGCAAAAAATCTTCGTTTATTTCGGGATTAATTAACTTTGAACATCATCTGAGGGTTCCATTAGCGTGATTTACAGATGTACTCTCAAACGTTTATATAATAAAAGTATTATTGTTTTCTGTTACATAGATAATCTAACGATAATTAAATTGGCAAGTCAGTGAAAATAATCATGACTGAAATATAATACTCAAAGAATTTTTCAAAAGCTCCAGTACTTAAGAAAACTGCATTCAGAGTATAGTATGGAAATCGGCCTTGCTCTATAATTATAAGGTCTATTTAAAGCTAGTTTTGATAGAAAATAAATAACTCAAGCTTAATTTTCTATAAAAAATAAATAAATAAATATGGAAACCAATATCAATCACAGTAAATTAACAAATTGATTTATTTTGGTGAAAAAATAATATACCACAAAACTGTGTTTAAATATTCATGTTATTAGTAGGTGTGAACGTCTTCTTTGTTCAATATTTATTATTTGTTTCTATACGCGTAGTGTGATTTTCTTAAAAGTTCAAAAATAACTGTCGCATGAGAATTGATACTGTTCAGAAAGAAATGGATCATCAATTTCAACTGCCTTTTATAGTTACATTGTTTATTGGTAATCTCATTTCTGAGTAAGCTCCGCCCATTAAATTAATTAACCCCACCCACTGGGACTGCTGGGACTGCTTTCTGGGACCGCTGAGACTGCTTTCTGGGACCGCTGGGACCGCTTTGGGACTGCTCTGGGACCGCTGTGGGACTGCTCTGGGACTGCTTTAGGAGTCCCAGAAAGCAGTCCCCGGGACTGCTCTGGGGCTGCTTTGTGTCAGGTTGGGTCTGGTTGGTACTGTACTTGCATGTGTTTAAAAATAAAATTTTCCATTGGCTGGAAATATATGAATTATATTGGTAACAAGGTATGATAATTTCAGGACTGTTTCAAGGGATAATCTCACAAAGTGGATGTGCTCTCAGTCCATTTGCTGTAAAAAGGCCTCCCCATTCCTTGTACGTCAGTACTAGAAACCTAGCATTGAAATTGGGCTGTCCAGTACTCTCATCCAAAATTATGGTGGACTGTTTAAGACATAAATACGCCTATGAAATCGTTAACATAGAAGCACCTGTATGTATAACTGTCAAAACGTTTTAATCTTATTAGGGCCAGATGTAAAAAAAAATATTCTGATCAAAGTTAGGTTGTCGTATATTGTGGGATCATTTTGATTCGTGGGTTCAACGTTAATGGGCAAGCAACATTTTACTGATTCATTTAAATGTTATTTCATGGTTAACTTATATAAATAACTTTGATGTATAAAGAAAAGTAAATGTGATTGTTCGTGGGAATTTCAATTCGTGGGTTAGAGTGACTTAAAATAGTCATGAACATTTGTCCCCCACGAACAATAATGATTATACAGTGCATGTAACTTACTGTGTATCATCTGACAAAGTATATCAGTTCTTTAAAATTAACCAATGATTAAAATTAGAAAATCGGAGAAAATATTTTTTTCCTAATAATTTTTACCATTAATAAAGTATGAAATTGATACCATGGGATTTTATGATTTATTTCATGTTTACTGATCAAGGTTGTTTGTTTTCTTTTTACCATTTTCCCGAAAGTGTAAACGAAGATAAAGACATTTCAGATGTTCTCAAACACAGATAGATGTTCCGATAGATTCATCATGACACAAAAACATGGCATTCTTTTGTATTCCTGAAAAAAAAGAAATACAATCTTTCATTAAGTCAAATGCTGAATGACATTTTTTATACTAATTGTTAGGCCATTATTTACACACTGAATTGTCGACGTATTTTTCCGTTATTTCCCGAATATGACAAGGAGCACACGGCGGGAGTGACCGGTTGGCAGGGGATGCTCAACCCTCAATGGCATCTGATCCCACCTCTGATGTTTTAGAAGTCCGTGTTTGCTTTGCTCCTATTTTGAATGTTTAATGGACATTTGAGCTCGAATACTGTTCGTTATCTCCACATATTTCATGAAGTATATTTTGCGAAAACAATAAGCATCCAAATCTGACAGTTTTGTCCTCAAAAACAATTTATAATTGTACATAGTATACATGCCCTTTACATATGTATTAACGTGCACATATTTCTTTATAAAATATAGAATAACACATCGCCCATGTTGTTTTTATTAAAAAAGGGTTAAAAAGCTATAATATTTACAATTGTTCATGCACAGATTATGGCATGCCGGCTGAAATGAAATTCAAAGAAGTGTTTCAAATTATATCTTAAAGCAACAGCTTTAGAAATAATAAGTTTATATCTTTCTGAAGCATAAAGAAAACATTTTTTTTTCAGAAATGAGCAATATATCACATAGATTGTATTCATATAGGTACATTTAACCCAATTAGTGATTGCCGGAGTAATTGTGGATAATTTTAAGAATTTCAAATAACGTTTAAAAATATGTGGGAAATTTTGCAAAGATTAACCAAAAAAAAAAAAAAAAAAAGATACAAAGTGCATATTCCAGCACCATAGAAGAAACATAAGGTTTCTTTATCATTTAGGGATTTATTATTTATGACAATTCGATTAAAAACAGTTAAATGGTATATATTAATCTATGCATCGATTTTTTGCTTGTGTTATATATCCTTAAAATACAATTTTTAAAGCAAATACCTAATTGAATTAAAACAAACACACAATACTATTTTGCGCTTATTGTAGTGATAAAAGCTAGCCAGTGACAGATGTTAATGTAGAACGATAAGTAATAACTATCAGATATAAGTTTATTTTATTTGTGTTCAATATATACTTTTATATCTTTCTGAAATTTGAAACTTTAAATTTATGTTTTTTTTTTAAACAGGACAGTCGGAATGTTATATCGTTTGCACCGAGAGTTGATGGATATTTCCTACATGACGTCCCCGAAAAAATCCTCCAAAGAGGTGATTATAATAGAAACGTAAAGGTTTTGACTGGTTACGTTCGCGATGAATCTTCCATCTTCATTCCCGATGACTTCGATGAACAAGGTGGATATAACATCACACAGTACAACATTTTACTGGACGATTTGACTACTCGATTTCTTCACAACGATACGGTTAAGTCATCCATATTGCACTACTATCCGTCGGTGCGAAATGGTTCTAAAGAGAATCTTCAAACATATATGAACGTACGTACATATATAAACTTGGAACATTATATAATAGTTTAATACTAAATTTGATTACGGAATATTCCGTCTACTGATCAATAAATAGGGTTCACGGTGTGACAGGTCGACAGGGGATGCTTACTCCTCCTAGGCACCTGATACCACCTCTAGATTTTCCGGGAATCCTTATTTTATGCCTCGTTCAAAGATTTGTATTTCTAACTTTTTAGATCGATTACTGTCCGTTATCTTCATCTTTTTTCATGAACATATTATGGCATGCCTGCTGAATATATAGGGCAATCTAAATGCTTATCTATACTGTGTTCTTAGTGTGTATTAAAACCTAAACAATAAGCAGTAATTCCAAAATTTGATATTTTCACACTTTAATATGTCTGGAAATAAGCTAAAGTTTTCAGTTAGTTGTACATATCATGGTACAAGTATGCAAAAAGGGTCGCTTGAGAAACATGTTATTTAGTTTTGTTTACCATGTTTACCTTTGCTATTCTCGTGGTCTGGTGGACAATTTTACAATGACGTATTCTGCTCTCTCCAATGATTGAACCATAGTAAAAATTAATATTTATACATTGTATTAGCTCAAATTGTCTTAATGTATTTTTGCAGTTGGATGGCAGCTTAATTTATAAGTAAAATAATATTATTGTTTTTCTTCATTGTATAAATTATCTTTTTATGTTCCAAATAATCCTCAGCTGGTTTCTGACTATGAGTTTAAAATTCCTCATATCAAGATGGCAACTGAGCTAAATTCAAAAGGCACAACGACATGGCTTTACGAGTTCAGCTATCTCTCTGAAAACTACCCAGGACCAAACTGGAAAGGTTAAAATCTCTCTCTCTCTCTCTCTCTCTCTCTCTCTCTCTCTCTCTCTCTCTCTTAATTTCTTACTTAAGAGATAGTTGTTGATAACTTGTAAAAGTTGTTAATTCCACCAACATTTCAATATGCAATACTTTCTGTCATATTGTAAACAGGCAATGAATAGCAACATAGAAATAACATATTTATGAAATATTTTGTAAGATGTTTTTCTAGGCAAATAAACAATTATTGTCTGGGCATTTAGTAATAATAGTATACAGTCGAATCTCGATATCTCGAACATTAGGGGGCCCGAGAAAAAAAAAACTTAATTGGACATATTCGAGGATTTGAGACACCTTTAAAAGTCAATGTTTGGGACTTGTTCATCTCTTCGATATGTCCAATGTATTCGAGATATTAGAGTTAGAGATAACGAAGTTCAACTGTTTATACATGTACGACTTCTTTGATTTACTCAGCTAACAAAATACATGTACTTATAGGTGTTTACCATTCAAGTGAGTTGTTTTTCCTGTTCGGAGCACCTCTATTTTCTTCGGAACTATGTCCGGGAGAACCACAATTTACCTGTCCCCAAATCTGGGAAACCTCTCCGAAGTGGAGTGATGTCGATACAAAAATAAGCAATACTATCATTGCTGTTTGGAGCAACTTTGCAAAAATTGGGTAATTTTAAACTAGTGAATGCATCTGTCACTACTATAATATATACTTCAGTGCATACATAAATTTAAGACGATTCAAAAACCGTTTAAATGTGAAAATGTGACATGGGAGAAAGACACTGGAAACATTAAAGTTGAGAGTAGGTGCCTAGCAGGATGGAGGAGTAAGCTTCCCTTCCGACCCGTCACATCTACGATAGGGCCTCTGTATTGTTCAGAAATTGTACTCAAAACTAGTTTTTAAAAATGGACTTAGAATTGCTTATTACGAAGGGAAATGAAATGAAATGTATAATGAGATACAAATATTCTATTATTCTGTGATAATGTGTGTCAATTTAAAAAAGAAAATTTGAAATTCTTGACAAAAATGACATGCCAATAACAAACCTGCTTGAAAGAATCTGTTTTCACATTCTGGTGTATATACATCTTCAAAGGATATTTTTAAAGCAATCTTAATCATTTTGGTTATTGTTAGTTGTTAATCTTGTATTCCGCCATTTGTAGATCCAAGCATAATTCTTCTATAACCATTCCCGATGGAAGTAACTGGAACACGTTTGGAGAAAACAAGGAATATCTCCTTTTCAAAAACTCTTTGGAACTCAGAAAAAATCCAAGGAATCACACGCTGGCGTTTTGGGAACATTTCAATTTTCTGGACTTTTGTGCTAACCCGGACGATCCTGGCAATCTGGTGTAATGTTCGAAGTTTTAAATTTTAACATTTTCGTGGACATGCAGATAAATTATGAAATAACTTTTGAAAATTTCTGTTTACGTTAAATATAGGGGGAAAAAAATCATGGAATGCACTATGTTTTCATTATTGTTTTTAGTTTAAAACACTGTTGTTCTGGGAAAGCTTTGTTCATGTTTTTTAAAGAAATTTGATAATTGATTTATTGCCTTAAAACATTTTAAAAAACTATATAAATTGATGAAAGCTATATAGAGAGATTTCAAAAGATGCATACAGGATACATGTTTATTGTATAGTTAGCCCATCACTATGAAAGCGTCTATGTGGGGCAAAATCCCGCAATGAGTGTAAACTTTGGTATTACATGTATTATTAAAGTGTTTATTATATCTGCAAACGAATTAATATTCAGATCAGATGCAATCTGACCTGCCCTAAAAAAACAATCTTTTCAAATACAAATTTTCATTCAAAACAATAAAAGAATTTTGAGTTTGCAAAATTAAATGCTTTTTCCAGTTATTGGTAAAAATAAATAAATAAATAAATTATAAGCATATATTATTCAAAATTTATAATATCGGGTTACTTTTCCCTCAAATATGTCATAGAGACAATCAAAGAATTCTATTATAAAAAGAAAATTCAATCATGCTTTGCATTTTTGATTTTTTTAAAACTCTGATAGAAGTATATTCCTTGTCGAACCACTGTACAAGACGTGGAATATCTTCCTCATTTATATTAGTGATAAGAAAAAATAGAGTGGCAAGTGCCTTAGTTTCACAGATTTGGATAGCATTTCAAAAACTCATAGCATTCATAGCATAGTATTTTAAAAGGAAATGCTAAGTAAAAAAAAATTACTTCATACACGAGTCTCGACTTTTTACTTCCATTTCTTCTTGTTATATCAAACAATCATTGTCGTCCGCAGTAGTTATAGGGTTTGCTTTAGAGTCGCGGTGTAAGAAGGTGATCCTTTGGTCGCAGGATCGAATCCACTGTGATACGTGGAGATCGGTCCTTCCGATGAGACTGTATAAACCGAGGTCCCATGTCGTAGTAGGTGCTGTTAAGAAAAAGATCCCTCATTGATCAATGGCCCTAAATGCCGAATATAGGTATAAATTTAAAGCTCACCACCGGCAAGTGGCGGCGTCTACATATGAGTGAAAAATTCTCGAGAGGGAAGTTAAACAACAACAACAACAAAAATCATTACTCTGTTTGAACATGAAATGCCCAGTGGAAATTAGTGAATAGTATTGTACATTGTACATGTATATGCATATGTATCTATTATCTTTCAGGGGTGGATCAAGGATTTTTACCGGGGGGATTCCAAATCAACTGTAACTAATATCAGACTCCGAACTTTTTTGATTAGCAAAATAAATAAATGATAATTAAATAAATATTTAAATAAAAGAATAGAATAAGATTTTAATAATTATTTATTTAAATCATAAACGCACACAAATCATATAGTATTTCACATAATAACTGAAATAATGTTCCCTCAAGATCTTTTCATTATTCCGATGAAGCATAACGTAGTTAGAATTTCCAACTGAGTTCGAGATACCTATGGTATTCGAGATATCAGAGTTCGTGATATCGAAACCCAGTACTATCTAAAAAAATCAACTTAACTTATTTTATCATTTAGTCCAAACAATGACTTCCAAAGAAGCCACGAAACTCTCTCATTTCAAATTCTAACATCATGTTTACATATATTTTCGTGATACAATGTGTTAATTTTCAATTTGGTAATGGTATCTGGTAATAATTGCATTACTTTTATTTAAATTTTAGATAAGAGTGTATATTTCTTTTTAATAAAACATACTAATTGGACATGTATTTGACCTAGCATCTGATCTTCATTAACGGTACCATACGAACTCTGATAAGTTTTGCTAAATATACCTATCATTTGTAACCATATTTCATCGCCTTATAAAGTTTAATGGGAGTAGGTGCAATTCCTAACTTAGTTCAAAATTGTAAATCACAAATTTTTTCCCCGTCAAAATAGTAAAAAAAAAAAGCCGTTTATCGCTTGAGGATAAGCGGTAATCTTCAGCAGCAAAAGATACAATTATGTTGATCGACAATTCACAATTGTAAACCATTGGTTACCACGGTAAATAAAAGTTCATGAATTTTTCTATCAATAACGCTCCTTAATTTTTTTGCTGTTACAAATTTCTTTCTCTCACGGCGAATCTCGTATTTTTTTTATTACATGCATGACGTTCAAACATTTCAATTTTCAAATGCGATTACAAAAATAAGTCTTAAAGGCACTTTATAACCTGCGTAGATTTTTCCCAATTTCAATATTAATTTTTTAAAGATGAAAAATGTTATTTTGAATATGAAAAAAACAATACGTCGTTCAGAGTACAAGTGTTTTAAAGAATAAAATGTTTTGTTTGACAGTACGGATAATAACGCTACAGCTGTTACACACACACACACACACACACACCCTCTACACACACACACACACCCTCACACACACACACACACACACACACACACATATATATATATATATATATATATATATATATATATATATATATATATATATATATATATATATATATATATATATATATATATATATATATATATAAAGTGTTATTTTCAATTTTTTTTTTAAATTAAGACGATAACAGATTAGAAATGAAGCTTGTGTACAGCGGAAACTGGATTTCAATCCAGACAGTCAATGCCCTGATTATAAAATCGTGCGATAAATATTGACAAGAGGTAATTCATGAAAATACTTTTGTCATCTCTCTGTATCACGATTGTCTCAGCAGACAGTTTATAAAATAAAATCTAGGACATTGGTAGGAGTTGGTAAGATTAAGATTTTTCAAGGAATTAGCATAAGTCTCAGGCATTTTTAATGTTGGTATCTTATTTATAAAGTAGCTGATGGAGGTCTTGGTATATGTGATTGTTGTTGTAAAGTCGCTAATCAGTATTTTACAAAAGCATTGAAATGAAAACTATGTAGAGAAAAAGATATTTTTTGAAAGTGTACTGTGTGGGTGCATGGAAGTGTGGTGTAGAGTGTGTGGAAGTGTGGTGTAGAGTGTGTGGAAATAAGGTGGTTAGTGTGTGGAAATGTGGCAGTGAGTGTGTAGAAATGTGGCGGTGAGTATTTGGAAATGTGGCGGTAAGTATGTTGAAATATGGTGGTGAGTGTGTGGAAATGTGGTGGTGAGTGTGTGGAAGTGTAGCGGCGAGTGTCTGGAAATTGTTTGGTATGTGTTTGTATATATAGATTTCGAAAAGGTGTCATAAATAAAGCATAAAAAAAACTTCTGGAAATGAGTAATTTTAAATTATATGAACTTAAATAGTACGTACGTAATGTGTAATATGCCTTTCAAATAAAATTGTTTTAAATACCTTTTAACAAAATATATTTTTTCTCACTGTTGAATATTGATATTTTAAAAACTAAATTACACCATTTTGACCATTTTGAAGTAGGCTGATCATAGTTTAGAAAAGCTAGATATTCTTTAAAAAGTCTAAACGTGTAAATCTTAAATGGCCAAAAATAAAGATTCTGACTCCCGCCCTTGGTCACAGAGAAGGATATCATAACAATTTTGGAATGATTTATGATAAGAAGTTCACGGGAGTGTTTTGCTGCAAGTTGAAATAATTTTCATGTCCACCTTGAAAAAAGAGAAGGAATGGTGCTTTGCATCCGTAGGTCAGTCGGTCGGTTGGTTTTTCGACACTAAATGTTTTATATCTTAAACACCTTTTGCTTGACTGGAACTAGACTCTAGTATCCTCTAAAGAGTAAAAGACCCTCCTCAATTTTGAGGGCAAAACGTAAAAGTTCAAGGGTCAAGCCAAATGAAGATATTGTCCGCTCAATATAATCTGCTTGACATACATCAAACTAGGTACACTATTTTTCTGAATGACAACTATTGGTTATAAGGTTACAAGGTCAAACGCCAGGGCTCAAACTGGGCACACTAAGATAATGAGCGTTTAATACGTTGAGAATCATTTGCTTGACGAACAACAAACTTATAACACTGCTTCCCTTTAAGCAGTAGATGAACCCATTGCTTATAAGATCACAGGATCAAAGGTCAAGTTTTATTATTATTATTATTTTTTTTCTGTTTTGTTTGTTTATTGTTTAACGTCCCTCTCGAGAATTTTTCACTCATATGGAGACGCCACCACTTGTCGGTGGAGAGCTACAAATTTTGACCTATACTCGGCAGTCAGGGCCATTTAGCAGTGAGGGATCTTTTACGTGTTAGCACCTACAGGACACGGGAGCTCGGTTTATACAATCTCATCTGAAGGACCGGTCTCCACGTCCCACAGTGGGATTCGAACCCGCGACGTAAGGATAGACTCCTTACTCCGCGATTCTAGAGCTCTAACCATTGCGTCACGCGGGCGACGTTTTATTAATGTACATGTACAAAGAAGATATTGACTACTCAATATCTTGCTAACTCTGTGCTAGGGAGACATAAAATTTAGTACATTAGTTCTTGGTAAGGAGTCCAGGCCATGATTTTTTATTGATTTTGATGTCACAAGTCTAAGATAAAGGTTCAGATGGAAATGAGGAATAGATTGACCGCACAATAATCATCGTACGATCGACAAAAAAAAAAAAAATAAAAAAATAAATAAAAAAGGCTTACGCTCTCTAAAAACTAAGTTGTACATGTACCTACGAAGAAACAGTCGTTATAAAGAGATAATAAATCAAACAAATGACATAAGTCGAAAAACAAGATACTAAATGAAAAGAACGAAATACTGCGTCAAAGGTAAAAAGTATAATATTGGTGCAACATACAGATGCACACACAATTTTAAAATGATTGTTTAATTTCCTAACAAAAGTGAATTATGTAAAAAAAAAAAAGAGCTATTTTTTTTTTTACTCAGACCATCAACAATAAATTGAAGAAACATACACA